TTAAAAAAACCTTTAAAAACAAATTTATTCTCAGTACTATTGAATTTAATTTGATGCAGTCATATATGGTAGCAAAGGTGTACTTTGCGAAAATATTTCCGGACAATAATATCGCAGAAACGCTGTTTTATTGTCTAAAAACTACAAACGTTCGAAATTACTGTACGATCGCTTGCATTGGTATACTCCTGTCTTAGACACACTTACAAGACAAAATAGTGTTGAAAATAGCGGTATTTCTTGCCGTTTAAAAAACGAATACGACCGGGCGATATTTTCATAAATAATATGATAAGAGAAAGAGAATAATACCTAAAAATAACAAAACCCAAAGCTAATGTGTTAAAAAGAATAACTTTCTTACTTTCAATGACAAAGAAACCCCTTTTCTGGCTGAATTTTTCCGATATCTGTGAAGCGCAAATTCCCGTACAAACAGTTGTTGTTTCAATTTGGACAAGAAGGGCGAAGGAATAAAATGGCCGCCACTTAATAAATAAAACGTGACGTCACTAAGAAAAAGTAAATTTAAGAGAGTAAACATTTGTATTCAAAGAAACTTATCAAACATTTGAGCATTTATTCTTATTGCAAATTTAACCGATTTTTCTAACTGACAAGTCTTTAATAAAGAATTCAAATTGGACTCATACAATACTAAATGACCTTATATTGACATGCATTTTTTTTTCTACTGGGACTGATAAATAACCTGGCAGTCTGAAAGTCCCACTGAATAGTCCTGATGTCCCTCTGGATGTTTTTATTTAGTAACAAGTGTGGAGATAAAGTATTTCAAATTTTACCTTCTCAAAACTGAGTCACTTTATATTGTAAAAACGCGTATCGACAGGCATAATTTTTGGCATTTTGGGATTGCTTTTAAAACTGCCAGTCTGAAAGTGTCAGTACAGTTTTCTCATGTCCCTCTGAATGTTTTTACAAAGTTACAAGTCTGTAGATCAAGTATTTCAAATTTTATACCTGGCACAGAGATGGGGTAAAATTTGATATATCATTATTTTCAAAACATTACAATCGAAACAGAGATTTTTCTATAAATTGGACAGAGTCTCCAGGGCTAAAACCATAGCGGTTTTATTGACTGTATATCCGTCTACAATTGTGGCAAAAATTATTTTACGATGTAGTCTAAAACGGTTAAAATATGCCGAAGAAGAAGCACGTCTAATCTAAAACAGCTGCACTTGAATAATTTTATCGCTGTCAAAAATAAAATAATTTTAACAGCGAAAATAGCTTTCAATACTGAATGAGACTATAACGAAAAGAAAGACCAGTAAAAAATCTACCTAACAATGTAAAAATGAACACTTGAAACGAAATATATAGCGTGAAAAAATTAAAACAAAATTGTTCGTTTAAAACTTTTATACGGCTATACAATGAATTATGATCGTGCATCTTTGACAGCGGCGCGTTCTAAAAGTACCTGTCCGTTTTCTTTGAAACTAGCACAGTTTGTTAAGCTGAGAAATAGCTTTAAAACAATGTAAGAACAAGGTAACAAACACGCGCACAACGGGCAAACAACGCCGAAGAAGAAGACGCATAATTCAAAATGCCGTGGGAAAAAATTTTTATAGCGGTCCAAATTTGCAATAATTTTAACGGCAAAAATAGCAGCGAATACTGAGTGAAATTATAACGAAAAAAAGACCAGAAAAAAGCTACCTAGAAGTGTAAAAGTGCATTCGAAACGCTATATATGGCGTAAAATAATTAAAACCAAATTGTGCGTTTAAAGTTTTGTTCCAAAAATTTCGGTCATACAATGAATTCCAACGGTTCATCTTCGAGCGCCTCGCGTTCAAAAATTAAACGTCCGTATTCTTTGAAACTAACACAGTTTAATGGCCAAAGAAAAAGCTTAAAAATGATACAAGAATGAAATAACAAATGTGAATATTCGTTGTGCAAAAGCTCATAAAGTACAGGTCATTTTCCGATACCTGTCAAAGATGGCTTTCAGGTAGCTTCAAAAAACTGAAAAAAAAACATGTTCCTACTCCTGCAATTTTTTTATATTTGTACAGAATAGTCAGTTTGATCTGCTCTTTCATATGTGGTATCAAAAAGATAGTGTTACAAAGTGTCGGAAAAGGTACTATATATATATATATGTCATATATAGTCATATAGTTAACAATAGTACTATTCTATATTATGTAACATGTTAATACTTGCTATACTTAGCCAACGTTAAACACCGTACGTTATTATGAAATAACCCCCCCCCCACATGTATTTAACCTGTGTATACACCAATTCCCCACCCTGAAACCCACCCTAAGCCTATGTTTAGGTTTCACCAAAGCTTTCTGACCATGCACCCAAATTCCTTGTTCTTCGTTTTCGTTTAATATTTAAAAAACCTCATCCTCTTTGCACTTTTTCGGAACTAAAAGATATTGCTCTCATTACCCGACTTCATTAAGGTAACCGTCGTTTTACGTTATCTTATTTTTAAAAACGTCCATAAAATATGCAATTTTCACTAACTTTTTTATCGGACTCGTATTTGAGCATTTTTCACCACCATTATTATTGAGTATGAAAAGTGTGTCATTTATCAAATGAGAAGTTTGAACTTTCGGAATATGAAGAAAGGTCCGCTTCATACACTCTGAAAATTACCTGCAATAGCATGCTGAATTTTGATTACCTTTTTTTGATTCACCTGCAAATAACATTTGTCATAACAGAACGATCACTGTGAAAATTTTGAATTTTGAAAAATACATTGTGTTATTGTTTTGAAATTAGTATGTATGTTTTTTCAAAACAGTTACTTCTAATTGATTCTTAAGTTTTGTCGGATCCAATAATTGCAACAGAAAATTATAAGTAATGGAAAACAGAACAAAGTTTCAACATTTTATATTTTTTTTTCAACAATTGAAAATTAATATTTACAGAATCTCCTTACAACATATAACTCCAATTGTTGCAAAATTTTTCAATTATTATTAGATATTGCTCACTCAATATTGTTTCAAAGAAAAAGCACGTTGGGTAAAAAGACCGTAAATAAATTTACAATGGAGAAGGCAATGTATATCATTATAAAGATTCACGTCCATACTGAAAATTACTTTTGATCTTTCTTATTCTTGTGCGATTTCTTTTTATTCCTCTTTGTTTTTGTTTCAATGACTTCTTTTTCAGGTTCTTCGGTTTCTTCAGCTGCTAGTTATCGCACTTTTTCAGCGACTTCAGGTTGCCTTCCTAGGGAAATAATTTCTTGTTCCTCGCTTGCATCAGACTTTGAATCTATCTCTGCAAACAAACGCTTTTTGCTGGTGCCACTCCTGTTGCTCTGGCTTTTCGCACTGTTATTCACTTAATAGGAGGTCAGCATTCGCTTTAAGGTGGTGATACTTTTCTCTTGTTTGAACTTCTTTTCTTCCTCCGTTGGCGTGACAGGAGAGAATGGCTCGCCGTATTTTTCTGTGTTTCGGACCAAGGTCCTGGCAACAATGATGTGTGTTGCAATCGCGAATAGAGCTGATCCAACTTCAAACGCTTCGTCTACGATGTGGTCAATTTCATCGTTGCACAGAAATTTCAACAAGGATTTGACGCTTTCGGATGTCGCGTCCTCACCAGCAACCTTCGTGTTAATTAATGGGAGATGTTCTTCAATCAAATGGAATGCTGCCTTACACAGGACGAAAAGCGTGCCCTTAATACGGTTGTAAAGGCAGATTAATCGTGTATTTTATTGGTGTTTAGTTACACTTAATGCGATTTATTAAATACACTAAACACACCTTTAGACACGTTTAATGTTCAGTACTAAGTGTATTAACGGCGGGATTAATACTTAAGACTAAATGTTGATTAAAGTGTGCTAAAGGCAGATTTAATTAAGTGGATTAAATGCAGATTAAGGCAGTTTAAAGGAACGTATAATTGCCTTTAATATCTTGACTTTTTTGACTAAAGTCGATTTTAATCATAAATGTGCTAGTTGGCTAAAGTGTATTAAAAGTAGATTTAATACATTGTTTAAAGGTCGATAAAGCGTGAGATAAGTATAGATTAATCGCCTTAAAACATTGATTAAACCTTGCGTAAATGCACATTTAAACTGTCTTTAATTAACCTATTATATTCACAATAATTCAGCTTTTGTTAATTCGTTAGCTGCATGGCTGTTATACTTATATAACCTATTCCATGTAAATAAACGAAGAAACTGATTTCCATTCAATTACAAGCTCAACTCGCAATAAAACTTAAATTTCTAATCGTTATATTTGGTACAAGCTACACGTATAGCTAGCTATAGTCAAACAAATACAAGCATCACCAGTTCATTGCAAAAAAGCATTTATTTCCCTCTATACCCGTGTATTTACAAAAATTCATCATTTTAAATAAATAGATAAGTCGTAATGTATAGTATACATCCATGATTCCTATACTAATATTATTGCATGATGTGATGTTTCTGGTACGGTGAATAATATGGTGTTTTCAACAATTAAATTACAGTTCAGTGCATCGATCTCCAGACGCGCAATAGCCAATATATTTTCAAAAATATATTGCGCGTCTAGAGACCAATAAACAAGGGCACTGAACTTTGAGTTCGGAGTAAACATATATTTAAGAACCGACTTGGCCTTGTAGCTCATTTGGTAGAGCATCGGACTAGCATACATAATTATTTGCATCTTCTAGGATGTCCATCGTCAATGTACATGTAACTGAAATAATTTTGTAGCAATTTTTAACTAAAGAGTCTATCGTGACAGATTCAAATCATCCTCGGCTAAATATTGTGCTCCAACTGGTTCATTTGTCGGGTCTTCAGTTAGAACAACACACGCCCAACCAGGACAGTTGGCTGGTTTTGGTTTACCGGAGGGTTCTCCTTCCTCTCTTGGTGTAACAGCTCGTTTGGACAATCCAGGTAGCGAATCCTTGTGGTTTTTATCAAGCTTCTTCTTAGTTCGCTTTAATTCTCTGCTTTCCCAAGAAAGCTTCCGAACCTTGTAGTGTTTAATCCTATTTGTTTCCTCGTCTACCTCGCTTTTTTTCAGAGGACATATAGTCCATTCTCATGACGTCTGCCACCTTTGCCACTTTCGTCTGGTTCCAACCCATTTTCTCGATCGTTTTTAATCTTTTCGCTAGTTTCTAAAAGCAAATATCGTCGAATAATTATATTCTTACTTGGGTAAGTGTTTGAGATTGTGGTGCTAAGTATAGTCTCGCCTAAAATCCAGTTGCTAATTTTTCTTCCGGTGGTTTTTCTCTTCGGAGTTCGAGTCTTACATGTCAGTGTAGTAGGTTATCCAACTAAGTACTACAACCAACTTCTTGATGGGGCTTCGCTCGAAACATCGAAGAATTTTCTTATTTTCCATGTAGTTGCATATAACCTACTACACTGTTTAACTGTTACGTTAAAAGTAGTTAGATAGTCGTGTTCAATCAAGTATGAAGCAAAGCTAAAATAATCATTAAGTATCAACTATTTTTAAAAAGATATTGTAAAAACATACCTCCTCCTTTCTGCTCCTTCTCCTGCAAATTTGAACGTGTTGCTGTTCTGTTCCAAGAGCAACTCTTTTCTGTTTTGCTTTGCATGACTTGAAATACCTCTTAAACGCCTCTAAAACATAAAAAAGCAACAATCACCTTCTAGATTCAGGGCCCTAATTTCTAGGAAACTTACTTTCACGAGGGAAAACCCAATTTGAAAACATAGTTGCAAAAAAGCTGTGCGTATGGGGCACCACCAGCGCAGAGAAAGGTTTTCCCTGTGACGAAGGTTTAAACCTGGTTTTCATATGTCGTAATTCATTGGATGCGCCTTGTTAAAATAAATTACACGACTCCCGCAAAAAGGGTTGAATCCCTATCCTATTAGACGTCTATACTCAGAGACTGGAGAACTAAGGAACATATTAGTCAACTGATTTATTGCTGCTATATTTCTTTTACATTACAAGTTAAAACTCTGAGTATATACCTTTTAAAACAACCGTTGGCCAAGGACAATTTTCCTGACCACCAAATTCATGTTGCAGTTCTTCTGCCACTCTTTTAAATAGCTGTGAATTTTGCTGAGAATCGGGGCTAGAAACAAGAAACTTAATTAGTTCAAAATTATTACTTGTGCTTAACCTGTGTAGCATACTGTCGAACTTCCATGCTCAGTTTGAGAGTTACTGTTCAAAAGATAGTGTTCTTGTACGTGGTACAAAGGGACACACTATTAAAATATACCAGCCTTTAGAATTTTATGTATGCCATTATGAATTTATTTTAAGGCCTTCAGAATTTTGCATAATTATCACATGTTCTGAATTCACCATATATCGCACAATTCTGAAGGCCTCACATAGAATTCTGAAGGCTTCAAATAAAATTTCAAAGACTGGTATAATTTATATTTATAGCATGTCAGCACAACTTCCAGTCTAATATGCAGTTTAACCCATTAAGTGGCAGAGCTTCCCCACTGACGAGTATTTCGTCTGGCAATAGACAAGTAAAAAATATAAGTAGGGTGTCCTGGGGCACATTGCCACTTAATGGGTTACCCATCAAGTTTGCGCCCTGATGCGCCCTACTTTGGCGTTTTACTCTGTCTAACACCAGACTATTTTACTCATTAAGGGGAGAGTGCTGGTGCTTAATTGGTAATATATTAATTACAATCAATAAAAATAAGATAAGACTCAATCTAAAATACTAACATCGGAAAGGTAAACAATGTACATCATCTCGGTAACATGACTTCACCAGTTTTATTAATATAAATTAGTATTTGAAAGAAGTTGCCTTTATGCATTACCTTTCAGTTAATCTAAAGTGCATATTTTCATCAGCACTCCTAAGAGCCTTGAGTTTTCTTCGGACATTATTCTATTGAAGAACATAGTAAACACATTTTCAAAATTAAATATCTAAAAATAATGGTTTTTTAAACATGGTTTTACAGTTCTTACAATTGATTTCTGTTAAACCTTTGGTTGGCTTTTAGTTGAACATTTAGTTGAAAAGTCAGCCTAAATTGGTGGCAATGTGCCTAGACATGCCCCCTGGATTTTCTCTGTGTAACACCAGACATTTTACTCCTTTAGTGTTATGGTACAAGCAGTGAATAGGTTGATAGTAAATATAATTATATTACCATAATAAGGAGACATTTATAAAGACTTTAAAACATACAAAGATAACTATATATAAACAAAGACCAATTCAAACAATATGGACATTTTTGTCCTCATATTATTAAAATCTGTTATTCAACATAAACGGTCAACGGATAAAGGCATAAAGCCATTCAGATGAAATGGTTAATAGGAAATAAATGAAACTGTATTTACTTACACTGCAAGCTTTGGGCACTTTATGTTTGTTCTGCCCGGTCTGTCTGACTCGTCTGCCAGGTGAAGTTGTCTGGGACAAGATGTCCATTTTTGTTTCAATATTTTTCAAAGCACTTTCATTGCTTGAAATGGTATTAGCCATTTGAGCTCTCAAGAGCCTGTTTTCCTCGACCACATTTTGTAATAATAAAACGTACTGATCGGGCAAAGACATTTCAGTGGATATGTCGAAAAATCCAGTGAAGTCAGATTCAGCTGTTTGTCGCGAAAGGACTTTGAACACATTGACACAGTTGATTGTTGAATTGTATGTAGATTTATAATTGAGCGCGATCACGTCCAATATTTCATTGGTTGTAGAAAACTTTCACAGCAGGATTCTATCGTTATCATATTTCTTCCGTTAGGTATAACACACGAACATCAAAGTCTTTACCCAGATAACCTAGAAAAGCACTGGCCTAAATGTAAATTGGGCTTCCTTACGAATACTAAGTCATTTAAAAATTGATTCCGTGCACATTTCCTCTACAACGATAATCCGCCATTGTTTTAGTCGCGTTATTTATAGAACAGACATATTATGAGTTGCCTACCCACCCTATAGGGGACAGTTATCCGATCGGAGACAAATATCATAAATTCATAATTGTTAAATAACGCAAAAGCGCGGGAAGCACACATTACGTACTTTGGCGCAATGACAACGAACGACAAATATTTTGAAAAGCCTTAAATTGAAAAATTCTGTAAAGCTTTTGGTGGTATACCTTGCGCAAAACCGGTTGAAATGGCACATTTTAACCAGTCTTTCCACACAGCGAGTGGCGCACTTGCTACCAGTGGAATGCGCAGCCTTCTGGAAGCTAAAAGCCCAGTGCCACCAGAGGCTGAACAGAATTGTTTTATACCTGCGAAGCAGCGTCGTCTCTCCAGACCAAATAATGTCGAGGAAGTGCGCCTTAAACGTCGCCGACGTAAACAGAAATTACGAGAAAGGAAACGTAAAGAGACCAGAAATGTCAAGCAAAGACGGCTGGAGGAGAAAATAAAGAAAAATATTGAGAAAGAATTGAAAGCCACAACGACTGAAATGAGATCGAAGGCCGAGTTTTTTTGGAGAAAGTGGAGAGAGGAAAAGTCTTTGCGTACTACGTCTCGTATGTAAGTACATGTATATTGCTCCTTATATTTAATTTGAGCAGTTTATAGAAGCAGGGTTATATCGATAGATTGCTAAAATTGTGTGTATTTACTTAATACTGTTATACTGCATTAAAGCACCCCACATTATATTCAGTATAATTCCCCCCCCCCTTATGGAGTATATTTGACCCTCCAGAATCTAAGCAATTTTGATTGAATAATATTAATATGTGCTTTTTTAACGCTGGGATTTAAGAGACCCCTTGCAGAAATGAAATATTTTTTTCCAACCTTAACAGAATTCATTTGGCAGTTCTGGCCACATCTTAGAAAACTGCATTTATAGGCAGGGGTTTATATTATTAAATGAAGTGGAACATTGACCAACAATGTAACCTAAGTATCATGCCCCAGGCCTACAGTATGTTTTCATTCGCTATGATTGATTGGCAGCGACAAATGAAGGAGGACCTGATATATTCTTTACCATGCTGCATGTAAAAAGCCAGATTCAGGCTTTTTTGTCTGATTGCCCGATTAGACAAAATCTTTTTGAATCTGCATTTGATTGAATGATGATACAGTGATCAAAACTATAATTCAAATTTTGTGTGAAATTTAAATTTCCCCTGCAACATTTTCATTCAATACTCAATACAAACTTTGCTGTGGGTGGAAAGCGATGGGATGAATGTTTGATTTGGGCCTTTGTACATAGGGAGTCTGATATAAATGGTGTAATAGTATAGTATTTAGAATCCTCTGTCCTAGTACATTTATCTTGCATGATTCATAAAAACTTTAGACACAATTGACAATTCCAATTATGGACTGAAATAGACAAGGAGATTCAAATAAATCACCAAAGCTGGAAAAGAGCATACTAAAATTAGTATATTTTCAAAGTTTGGTTGTGAAATGTTGTAAATTTTAGCTCACTTTACTAGCTTTTTTATTCCGAAGCTAGAATGTGCTCAAAATGTTCTGCTCGTTTGGAGTTACTATTGTACTGGCCAATTAAGAAGAGAAAGCAATTTGAACATTAATGGGGTACTCATGAAATGCTAGCTACAGATATGACCATATGTCTCCAACCTTTTGAAACAATAGTTTGTGCTTACAGTAGCTGTCAATTCATGAAACAACACTGTCTTGAAGATCATTTGATCTTTATATTAACCCATTAAGGGGCAGAGCTTCCACACTAATGAGTAAAATTGTCTGCCGTTAGACAAGTAAAAAATAAGTAGGGCATGCCGGGCACATTGCCACTTAATGCGTTAACTCGAGAGATTGTCAGCTTTTGTAGTTAACACATTAAGTGGCAGAGCTTCCCCCTGACAAATGAAATAATCTGACATTAGACAAGTAAAAAAATAAGTAGGGGGCATTGCCACCTAATGCATTCAACTATAGTATACTGAATAGCAGTTATACAGCTGAACAATATTCAAGCCTAAATATTTTCAATATCAACCTGGCTATTATTTATTTAAATTTTTCTAGGTCTATCCATGAAATTGACCCAGCCAACTTGAAAATATTGTCAAGTGGACGAAAAAATAAAATTGGTGAGGGGACATTTGGCATCTGTGTAAAAAAGATGTACAGAGGGCATGTAGTTGCTGTGAAACAGTTTAAAAGCCATACAAGTAGAACTGATGTGGAAAAGGAAGCCATGATGATTAATTCATTTGATCACCCTGGTATGAAAATGATTAATTATTATGATTACAGCATACTTGAAACTTACGGCACTGTAACAGAGTTTACGTGGATAGTTGGGAGGGGTGTGTATATTCATATATTCATGTTCATATTTACATGGATATATTAATACACCCATCCCCCCCACACCACCAATTATCAATGTTGGGGATAGGCCTGTTTACCGTTAGGTATGATCATGTGGAATAATGATTAGCAGTATGGCAACTCTTCTAGCAAAACTGATCCTGAAGTTTGTATTTTCACTCAAAATTTAAAGCTGAGAAACTTCTGCTTTAATAGTTGATTGTTCATGATCAACTTCATTCAATGTCTCTGTATTCAGATTGTGTAAAATTGTACTGTACATGGAAATACAAGAAGACTCATGACTTATTTTATTTATTTATAATTTCATAATACTTTTCTTATATAAGGTTTGCCATTTCTGTTTGGTATCAATGTACAATCAAAGCCATACATATTGGTTACTGAATTTTATGGAATTGGTGGACAGTGTGCTAATAATGATATAGCTGTATATTATGGACTTGCATGCAAAACACTCTCACCTTTGAAACTGTAACTGTTACAATCACTTTCTCCGTCTGTGTCGGATGAAGACGTTGAAGAATCTTTCTTCAAACTTCTCTTCAGCTGGCGAGATTGTTTTAAAGCCATATGTCTACGGAATGTTGTTTCCGAAACGTTTTGTTCGCAGTGGTCGCAAAACACGTAACTGTTCGCCTTATCCATATCGTATTATAACTGCCACGCACTTTGGCCAAATTTATATAAACTTGTATATCAATCACTTCCGCACTTTATAATTATACTAATGAGCGAATTTGCACAATAAGAAGTCTTTCTTATTTCTTGTATATTGTCCGACAGTGTCTCGAAGTGCTTAAATTCAGGTGAAATAAAGGCGCATTATAGCATTACGTTACTCGATAATAACAAACGTATCAGATATCATCATGTTTATTTGTTACCATATAATTGTTGCAATAACAATATATTTAATCCTATTAAATTGCCGTCCTAACGGAATTAAAGTAGGTGTCAGGTTTTGTCTTCATTTAAAATCAAATTAAAGGTGATTAAATGCTATCTCTGCCTTTAATCAACATTTAAACAACTGGTTAAAGTTTATTAAACTATACGCGCACTAATGTCGGCTTTAACCCACTTTAAAATGCTCACTAAATGCAATTAAATCTATCGGTTTCCAAAAGAGATGTTTTATTCAAAATAAATGCGATTAAATGTAACTTTTTCTTTAATCACCTTTAGTCGGCTTATTAAAAGTTATAGATACGCATTTAATACCTTTAGTATTTTTGCTAAAGCTAATTAATGGCACGCTTTTCGTCCTGTGTTAATTTGAGACATAGAGGACGGACGCAACAACACTCCACCGGTCTTGTCTTCTAGTGTCTGTAGGCCCTCTTGGATGGTATCAGCCATCTCGGATGCAGCTACCTTTGGCCGTACCAGCCATTCACAGGACTCTGGTTTTATTCTTTTCATTACAATTTGTAAACTTGGAGGATTTTCTTGACGGCCATATGGTCTCAGGAAATTTTTCGGGAACTGGTTTACGTATTGGACAGCTCCTCTTGGCGACGTGTTTTTTCTGAAAGATGACATTCTTGACTGACTTGATACACCAGAATCTTGATTTGAACTTGTTATTGCCCTAAAACCATTGCCCTTATATGTCATAAAGTTGTACATAAGGCAAGTGGGAGTTCGGAGTATAAGTGTGACAAACTTGTACACATTGGATGTGGTGCAAATTTTATTTCCATTTGCGAAAAAATAGTCCATAGTTAAGCCAAACTGAAAACGGTGAACCTTTAGAACAATCAGAGCACACATTCGTCAATAAAAAATGAGTTAGAAACACTTAGTGCATGTAATAATGCTCGCGCATGCGCCTGCCGAAAATTTCAGTATTTCAACGAAATAACTATGCAACATTGTTCCCAATTGTATTTCTGCCATGTACACTCAAGAACAACATGAACTACGGGTAAGATTGCAAAGATATCTGAAGGATTAAAATTCAATACAATTGCAATAATAGGGAAGCCATTACAGAACCCATTTCGATAATTTTTTAAACCTTTGAGAATGCTCATCTTTAAACGAAATAACTATGCAGCAATGTTGCCACTTGTATTTCTGACATGTACATTTAAAAAAGACATGAACTACGGGTAGGATTGCAAAGATATCTGAAAGATTAAAATTCAGCCCATTTGCATTAATAGGGAAGCCATTACAGAGCCCATTTCGAAAATTTTTCAAACCTTCGAGAATGCTCAATCTTTAAACGAAATAACTATGCAACAATGTTCCCATTTGTATTTCTGACATATATATTTAAAAAAGACATGAACTACGGGTAGGATTGCAAAGATATCTGAAGGATTAAAATTCAGCCCATTTGCAATAATAGGGAAGCTATTACAGAATCCATTTCGATAATTTTTCAAACCTTCAAGAATGCTCAATCTTTAAACGAAATAACTATGCAGCAATGTTCACACTTGTATTTCTGACATGTACATTTGAAAAAGACATGAACTACGGGTACGATTGCAAAGATATCTGAAGGATTAAAATTCAGCCTATTTGCATTAATAGGGAAGCCATTACAGAGCCCATTTCGATAATTTTTAAACCTTCAAAAATGCTCAATCTTTAAACGAAATAACTATGCAGCAATGTTCCCACTTGTATTTCTGACATGTACATTTGAAAAAGATATGAACTACGGGTAGGATTGCAAAGATATCTGAAGGATTAAAATTCAGCCCATTTGCAATAATAGGGAAGCCATTACAGAGCCCATTTCGATAATTTTTAAACCTTCAAAAATGCTCAATCTTTAAACGAAATAACTATGCAGCAATGTTCCCACTTGTATTTCTGACATGTACATTTGAAAAACACATGAACTACGGGTAGGATTGCAAAGATATCTGAAAGATTAAAATTCAGCCCATTTGCATTAATAGGGAAGCCATTACAGAGCCCATTTCGAAAATTTTTCAAACCTTCGAGAATGCTCAATCTTTAAACGAAATAACTATGCAACAATGTTCCCATTTGTATTTCTGACATATATATTTAAAAAAGACATGAACTACGGGTAGGATTGCAAAGATATCTGAAGGATTAAAATTCAGCCCATTTGCAATAATAGGGAAGCTATTACAGAATCCATTTCGATAATTTTTCAAACCTTCAAGAATGCTCAATCTTTAAACGAAATAACTATGCAGCAATGTTCACACTTGTATTTCTGACATGTACATTTGAAAAAGACATAAACTACGGGTACGATTGCAAAGATATCTGAAGGATTAAAATTCAGCCTATTTGCATTAATAGGGAAGCCATTACAGAGCCCATTTCGATAATTTTTAAACCTTCAAAAATGCTCAATCTTTAAACGAAATAACTATGCAGCAATGTTCCCACTTGTATTTCTGACATGTACATTTGAAAAAGATATGAACTACGGGTAGGATTGCAAAGATATCTGAAGGATTAAAATTCAGCCCATTTGCAATAATAGGGAAGCCATTACAGAGCCCATTTCGATAATTTTTAAACCTTCAAAAATGCTCAATCTTTAAACGAAATAACTATGCAGCAATGTTCCCACTTGTATTTCTGACATGTACATTTGAAAAACACATGAACTACGGGTAGGATTGCAAAGATATCTGAAGGATTAAAATTCAGCACATTTGCAGTAATAGAGACGCCATTACAGAGCCCATTTCGATAATTTCTCAAACCTTCGAGAATGCTACATCTTTATACGAAATAACTATGCAGCAATGTTCCCACTTGTATTTCTAAGATGTACATTTAAAAAAGACATGAACTACGGGTAGGATTGCAAAGATATCTGAGGGATTAAAATTCAGCACATTTGCAATAATAAGGAAGCTATCACAGTGCCCATTTCGATAATTTTTCAATCCTTCGAAAATGTTCGTTGTTCGTCCCTTCCAGTCAAGATATGTATGTGCATGCTAACATCTTCCGAGAAAAGAAACACCCTTTTTCAGCGGTACTAAAAATCGCGTTTTAACCATTTTCATTCATTTTCGCTGAGTTTACACCCCCCTGGAAAAAGTAGGTTCAACTCAAAACACTTGGTACTTTAGTATGAAAGGTAAAGAAGTTTTATCTTTTATGATAACTTAAATTAAAGCAATACTTATGCAACTCAAGAAAGAAAATTCCCTTTGAATTTCGCGTTTTTGCATTTAATATGGTAGTTCAGCATGCGAATATGCTAAAAGAGACATGTTTGACAAGTCATCAAAACGTAACCTCGATCATTACCCCAACTACAACTCTAACAGTGTGTTCACACAGTCTCAAAGTCTGTAAGAGTATACCTCGTCCGCCCTCGAACCCAAAGTATATAAATTTATTCGTTGTTGAAATACGCAAAATTCGTCATTTTGAAAAATTGTCATTTTACGGTAGCCATATTTGAGGCATTATAAAAAACGAAATAGTTTACATATTTACTTTCTTTTCCGCATGTGAACTACAAAGTTTCCCACAAGTCTAAAAAAAAAACGAGTCGTCCCAAAAATGGCCATTTGGACGTTCCAGGTGGGGAAACAAAACGCTCGTTTGAAAATCAAAAAAAAAATTACCATATTTTCCGCCATTTTTGACCGATCGTAACTCACGAACGAAGACATCTAACGTTTTCTCTTTTCGCTCAAGTGTAACCATGCCGACAGACATTACAAAGCAAAAAAAAGCGTTACGATTTACAAAAACGCAAAGCCTTACGAGATGTCTTAAATTTGAATTTTAATTCGTACTTACGAGGACCATTTTCACACCCCCTGGAATCACCCCCCTGCTGCAGAAAGTCAGAAAAGGTTACATAGCGTGAAACTCCTGTTTCCAATTTTTACAAATATGTCACTTTGGATGGGAAATTTTTTTCACCAGAAAAGTTACAATATATATATATATATATATACATATTGCATACATAATGAGATATGTCTATACTCAGTAGGTCTAAGATCTAAAGGGAAAAATAAAGTATTATTGTGTTGTAAATCGAAAGGTATATGAACGTATGCGTGTGTGGAGGAATAACTGGCTTGTGGCAGCCAAGCGTTCATAGCGACGTTGCTTTTTGATTCTTCGATGTCGGCTCTTCCTATCATTGCGAAGCAGAATTCGCCAAGCGTCGGATTGTTCACCCGCCAATAGGGAACGTGAGCTGGGTTTAGACCATCGTCAGACAGGTTAGTTTTACCCTACTTGAATGGTTGTTGCAATAGTAATTCTGCTCAGTACAAGAGGAACCGCAGATTCAGACAATTGGCTCATGCACTTGCCTGAAAAGACAATGGTGAGAAGCTACCATCTGTTGGATTATGATTGAACGCCTCTAAATCAGAATCCATGCTAGAACGCAACGATTCCTTTTCTCTGGACGACTTAAGCGAACACGAATAGAGACGCGATCATTCGCGCCTCCTGCGTCATAACGAGCCCACGGAGCGGACAATGCTCCAAAGCTCTACAACAATCAAAATCTAA